ACTCAGGAATGGAAAACCAAACATCATATGTTCTCACTCATAAGTGGGAGCTAAGCTATGAGGATACAAAGGCATAAGAATGACACAATGGACTTTGGGGACTCAGGGAAAAAGGGTGGGAACGGGGGGAGGGATGAAAGACTAAAAGTTGGGTGCAGTGTACACTGCAGGTGGGGGGTGCACCACAATCTCACAGATCACCACTAAAGAATTTACTCATGTGACCAAACACTTGTTCCCCAATAACCTGTGGAAATAAAAAATTTTAAACTAAAACATTTCTTTGTCATACTTCACAAAGCTCCTTCACTGCCATGAGCCCACGTCCTTTTCACAGCCTCTTCTAGGTCAGTATGACTTCACTTTATGAATGAAGGACTAGGACCCAGAGAGGTTCAATGGCTTGGGCCAGGTCACATAGCTCTCTAGTGACAGGTCTTCTTGCTCTAAGTCTAGAATTATCCCTACCTGATGACACCGACCCAAGTCGCTTGGGGTCAGGAGACCAGGTAAGGAGAGGAGGGGGAAGAAAGTGTAAAAGAGAAAAACGCAATATCCATGGTTAAAATAAAAGATGCAAAGGTCAAACGGAATTTTTGAAAGTCCTTCTCAAACACTGAGACAGAAACAGCCAAGCATGTATCCTGCTAAGTCACATTTTTCTTTTCAACAACAAGAGAGATTTTTTTCCCCTCAGAATCCCAAAATTATGTTCTCTCTTCCCTTCAGGTCCCAAATGCCTTTTAATCTTTACAACAACTCTAGAAGGAGGAGAGGGCTGGGGCAGAAGACTGTCAGGCGTGACGGACTCCAGATCGCCCGGAGCTTCATCAGAGACCCCTCTGCACAAACTCCCCAGCGGCCACGTAACCTAGATGGCTCCTCTGGGACTTTGTTCTGAGTGAGACAAGGCAAAGTCAAGATTGTGCAGTGGTCTTCAGGCTCCAGACCCCCAGATGCTCAAAAAGAAGGGTCTCTGTGGACAGGGTTTGTGTGGCACCCCACGTGGACTCAGGACACACATCCCCACTGCCAGACAGATACCCGGGGCCATTTGACTGAGTTGGCTGGATGTGAAATGAGGATTTCTGAAGAGTATAGCCTGGTGTGAGCTGTGAGAACCTCACAGTACCTGTGAGAGCCTGTATGAAGATAGAATTGAGACCAGGTGGCCTGGAAAAAGGCTCCACCCACCCTGAGTAAACTTCAAGGCCAACCCCCACCTCAGACCTGGTAGACCAGCAGGCTGGTCTCTTTTTTTTTTTTCAATTTCTCCATGGGAATTTCCATGCAAATGTGCTGACTGGCTCTGACTCTACTAAGAGCAATGGGAAATTCCAAATTTTCACGTTTGCCTCTTGAAGTTGCAAGGCAACTAGCTTGCAACATCAGGAAAGTCTGTTTCATTAGACTAGCCTTACAGATACAAGCACTGGGTCCTAAACTGGACTTTAACCCCAGCTTTGTTCACGTAGAGGGAAAGCTTTAGAGAGCACGAAGTGAGACCTTTACTCAGGAAGCACAGCCCCTTCCTTAAAAGACTCAAGTTGCCAGGTGCGGTGGCTCACGCCTATAATCCCAGCACTTTGGGAGGCCGAGACGGGTGGATCATGAGGTCAAGAGATCGAGACCATCCTGGTCAACATGGTGAAACCCTGTCTCTACTAAAAATACAAAAATTAGCTGGGCATGGTGGCACGTGCCTGTAGTCCCAGCTACTCGGGAGGCTGAGGCAGGAGAATTGCTTGAACCCAGCAGGCGGAGGCTGCGGTGAGCCAAGATCGTGCCACTGCACTCCAGCCTGGGTAACAAGAGAGAAACTCTGTCTCAAAAAAAAAAAAAAAAAAGACTCAAGTTGAGACATTTAGCTTGGGAGCTCCCAGCTCCAGTTCCCTCCCTCCTGGGTTGCTCCACCCTCCCTCAGGTACTCAGCCTGGATCCAGGCCTCAGCCTCAGCTGGCTGCCCACCAGGCCCTGGAAGGTGTGAGCTGATAATCAAGGCAGTCATTTAACCACCTATCTGTCTAAGTGTATACAACTTCTCCCAGGGACCTCTGCAGGCTAAAGCAGATTCTTTCCGAGAAAAAAAAAATCTTGCAAATTCAAAGGAAAAACGCTCTGACGCAGGGTTTCCCATCTTGGCACGACTGACACTTTAGGGTGGGTCATTCTTTGTTGAGGGGGCCGGCCTTGTGCACTACAGGATGGCGGGCAGCGTCCCTGGCCTCTACCCACTAGATGCCCAGAGCACCCCTCTCCCCGCAAAGCTGGCACAACCAAAAACGTTTCCAGACATTGCCAAACATTCTCTGCAGGCGAAATCACCCCTGGTTGAGACCACTGATCTAATGGCAGAAGTTGGTGCAGAGCTGAGAGCAGGAGAACCCATTTCTGAAGCCCCATCAGATGCCACCCAGGCAGCTGCCTGGTCAGGTTTGCCTGCACGACTCTGATCACAGAGCATTCTGGAAACCTCCAGGTGATGCAACAGAGGGAACAAAACAGCCCTTCTACCTCAGAAGCAAAAGCCAAGACAAAGTCAGGTTTCCAGAGTTCTCAATCCTTGGCGGGGTAGGGTAAGGAGACAGTGGAAGGGAAAGTCGAACTCAAATGTTTCAGAGAAACTAAGGGCCACTTCCAAAGTCCTTGCCTTTTTTTTTTTTTTTTTTTTTTAGGCAGGGTTTCACTCTTATTGCCCAGCCTGGAGTGCAATGGCGTGATCTTGGCTCACTGCAACCTCCACCTCCCAGGTTCAAGTGATCCTCCTGCCTCAGCCTCCCGAGTAGCTGGGATTACAGGTGTCCACCACATGCCTGGCTAATTTTTTGTATTCTTTGTAGAGATGGCTTTTTGCTATATTGGCCAGGCTGGTCTTGAACTCCTGACCTCAGGTGATCCATCCGCCTTGGCCTCCCAAGGTGCTGGGATTACAGGTGTGAGCCACCACACCCAACCAGTCCTTGCCTTTGAAAGGAGATGGCTTGTCTCACTGCTGGTTTGTTTTCGAGTCCTTCTTTATTCACCATGGTTAACTCCCCTTCCCCCAAGGCGTCCGTGGGAAAGAGAAACCTGGAAAGGCATGGGCTGGTTTGAATTTACCTGGACGGGTGTCTGTGCAGCCCCTGAAACCATCCTGAAGTTAGAGTCCAGCGGGACCCTGATTAAGATGCAGAGAAAACCAGAGAGGAGAGGAGAGGAGTGAAGTGGGGGGGGGGGAGGGGGGGGGGGGGGGCTGATTAATTGAGAAAAACGCAACCATGCCGTGTTTGAATAAGATTGCCCGGTGGAATGCAGAGCCCTTTTTTGTGTGCTCATTCGTTTGAAACAAAAGCGAATAGAGGGAACTACAAAGGGGTCAGCGGGAGGGGAGAGCAGCAGCCAATGGATTCCTGTGAACAGACCCTGTGTAGGGGGACAGAGGCACTACCTTGGCAGGCACTTGTCAGGGCAGTCACGGGCGTTTGCAAATGAAAATCTTTTCCACACAAGTCCTTAACTTCAGTTTTGATTCCTATTCTCCAATGAGGACTTCAACTCCAAAATTTAATCACTTCAACTTAAACTCTCCAGACCAGCACCATCCAGGGCAAGCCTCTGGGCAATGAGCCTTGGAAACGTGACTAGTCTAAAACTGAGACGTGCTGCTATGTGTGAAATATATGCCTGATTTTCAAGATAACGTATATTTTCTCGATAATGAGTATGATCTCCATAATACTTTTTTTATATCAATGGGCATGTTGGAATGATAAGATCGGGGATATACTGGGGTAGATATCAAATGTATTACTGAAATTGACTTCATCTGTTTCCTTTGTCCTCCTTTTTTTTTCTTGAGATGGAGTCTAGCACTGTCCAGGCTGGTGTGCAGTGGTGTGATCTTGGCTCGCTGCAACCTTCGCCTCCCAAGTTCAAGTAATTATCCTGCCTCAGCCTCCCAACTAGCTAGGATTACAGGCGCCCACCACCACACCCAGCTAATTTTTTGTATTTTTATTACAGACAGGGTTTCACTATGTTGGCCAGGCTGGTCTCAAACTCCTGATCTCATGATCTGCCCGCCTCAGCCTCCCAAAGGGCCGAAATTACAAGTGTGAGCCACCGCACACGGCCTATCTTCCTTTCAATGAGGCTACAAGAAAGTCTGAAATCACCTGCGTGGCTTGTTTTATTTCTCTTGGACAGCACTGCTGTAGGTGGTTGATTCTGGGCAGCTGTTCTCTCCCTTCCGCCCTCTCTCCTGCCCTGCATTGCAGACCCTCCTCAGATGGTCTGGATGCTTTCCATGAGTATATCCACCTTCATTCACCAAAGACATTTTAGGTGCCTTCTGCACACAAAGTACGTTGACATCTGTAGGAGACTCCAGAATGAATTAGACTCTTGGATAGGAGGCCAAGGCGCCGAACAACCTGACAAGGCCCCTTAAGAAGCAAGGCTGAGACAGCCAGTCCCAGGGCTCCCACCGACAGGGAAATGGCGAAGCCTTCTCCCAGGCCTGAGCTGCCATATTGGACTGGTTCCAACTGAGCAGCCGGGGAAGGTTAGTTTTCATTTCACCTTCCCCACAGAAGTGGCTTTTCTGGTTCTGCTTATCTTCCTGGTAGCGCTAACCCTGCCACCTGTTGTCCTTCTACAGATCACAGCTGTCTTTTTTCCTTCTGACATAAGGATCGCATGGCTTTGAGAGAAGAGCCCGTGTTTGAGGAGATGGGGTGTCAGGCCCCGGCCCCCGATCCAGCACCTTCACTGGTCTTCAGCTTTGGTTTGTGGCAGGCCCGAAAGAGAGCAATGTGAAGTGGTTAAGAAGAGCATTCTCCCAGCACTTTGGGAGGCCGAAGCAGGTGGATCGCCTGAGGTCCAGAGCTCGAGACCAGTCTGACCAACATAGTGAAACACCATCTCTACCAAAAATAGAAAATTAGCCGGGTGTGGTGGCACGTGCCCATAATCCCAGCTACTCGGGAGGCTGAGGCAGGAGAATTGCTTGAACCCAGGAGGCGGAGGTTGCAGTGAGCCAAGATCATGCCATTGCACTCCAGCCTGGGCAACAGAGCAAGACTCTGTCCCAAAAAAAAAAAAAAGAAGAAGAAGAAGAAGAAGGGCATTCATTGGAAGGTGCAGTGGCTCATGCCTGTAATCCCAACACTTTGGGAAACCGAGGCAGGCAGATTGCTTGAGCTCAGGAGTTTGAGACCAGACTGGGACACATAGTGAACCCACCTCTCTACCAAAAATACAAAAATTTGCCAGGTTTGGTGGCATGTGCCTATAGACCTAGCTACTCGGGAAACTGAGATGGGAGGATGGCTTGACGCTGGGAGGCCAAGGTTGCAGTGAGTCGAGATGGCATCATTGTACTCCAGCCTGGGTGACAGAACAACACTCTGTCTCAAAAAAAATAAAGAAACAGAAGGGCATTCATCATCCCAACCCACTTCATGGACTTTGAAGAATATTTTTCATCCAAAATGTCCAGTTTAAATGTATCACTGGTCGCTATGATCTAGAAGAGGGGTTCTCAATGATGCAATTTTGACCCTCCCCCAAGGGGCATTTGGAAGCATCTGGAGACATTTTTGGTTGTCACAATGTGGAGGGGGCATTCTACTGGTATCCAGTGAGTAGACACCAGGGGGGCTGCTTCACATCCTACAACACACAGGACAGCCCCCCCACCAAAGAGAATTATCCAGCACAAAATGTCCTTAGTGCCGAGGCTGAGAAACTCCCATCTAGAATACAGAGGAGAACAGTATCCTCACAACCCTCACCACCACCAAGCCAGAGCTTGCTCTAATCTCTGGCATCAGGAGTATCCATCTTCCTTCAACACTACTTTCCAACACACCTGGGAGTGGATCCAGGAAAACCTGAAGGATCAGGACAAGAAGAACAACCGAGAGAAGAAAAACAGCACAAACATGATTAAATCAATTAGTCCCACTAATTACCGAGTGTCTAACTTAGCACCTGGAGCAACAGCTGGGGTTGCGCAGAATTGAGCAAACATCATCCCCAACTCAGGCAGACTTTGGGCGTATTGACTTGCTCCTCCTTGCCTTCTTCTCTGGCAAAAGACTTGGAGTGAGAAAAGACTAAGCAATGAAGTCTTAGAGCACAATGACTGCCCTCTGGAGGCAGGTTCAAGGCCACAGCCACATCAGGCACACCTGCCCACCCCACCGAGGACATTCCCAGAAGAGCCAACTGCTCAGGGTAGCAACACCTCCTCTTGAGCTGAGGTCCTGGCTTCCCAAGCTGCTGATGTCTACAAACAACCTCCATGAGGAAGGCCCAGGAGATCTCCCACCTCCATCAGTATTACTCACCCAATGCTTAGGAAATATCCAAGGAAAATAAGATTGCCTCTTCTCTCCAGCCTCTGCTTGAACTCTTCTCTACCCTGTTCCTCTGAGTCTGTTTTCTCAATTTCTCAATTATAAAAGACCCGTTATTTGTTCTATGAGGCGCGCTCACAAAGACCCACAGCCCTACATCTTGTTGCTATGATTTCCCTTCTGGGACGTGACACTGAGGTTGCCTCTGCAAAGTCTAACCAGAAGCCCGCTGAGCGGGTAGCCTCACCCAGCCACTCAGTGGCTCCATACCACCACAATGCAGTAACTAGACCCTGTGGCACCACGTGTCTCACAGCTGCTTACTCCGTGTCACCACAGAAATGCAGCTGTCCACAACCATGTGGCTGCAGGTAAGGTCCTCCAGGACTCTGCTCAGGGGCCACATTTAATTTTGATTTAATACCTGCTGTTGAAGTTATTTCCCCAGATTCCAGATTTTTACCTGTGGCTACCAAAAGATACGTCCATGTCCTAATCCCAAGAAGCTTTGACTATCTCCTTATGGGAAAAACGGGTTTTGCAAATGAAATTACGGATCTCAAGATGAGATCATCCTGGATTACCCAGGCAGGCCCTGAATCCAATAACAGGTGTCCTTTATAAAAGACAGAGAGCAGAAGACAGACACACAGAGGGAAAGGCCATGGGAAGATTGATGTGATGCGAGCACAGGCTTAGGAATGCCTGGGGCCTCCAGATGCTGTAAGAAGTGGTGGAGGAGTCTTCCTTGGAGCCTTTGGAGTGAGCACATTCTGCTGACAACCTGATTTTGGACTTCTGATCTCCAGGACTCTGAGAGAATAAATTCCTGTCGTTTTAAACCATGCAGTTGGTGGCAATTTGATCCAGTGGCCCTAGAAAGCTAATATGCACATGTTCAATCCCACTCCTAGTCAATCACGAGCATTGCCCAGTACATAGCTTGTTTAACATAAAAAACATGGAACTCGGTGCTTGAGTCAACCATTCATTTGTTCATTCATTCACACTTTCATTTGACATCTACTCTGACCAAATGTCACTTCCCGCTGGGCTCTCCACAACAACCCCACTGAAAAGAGCCTTACTCAACCTCCCACATGTCCCTCTGCTGCCTCTTTATCTTGATTTTTTTCTTATCTTTATTGTTCCTCAAGTTATATATTTGTATACTTGGTTGTTTTCTATCTCTGCCAATTGAATATGTGTTCCTTAAGGGCAGGGGTGTGTTTGCTTATTTACTGCTAAAACTCCAGCAAGGAGAATGCCTAGCACATAGCTATTAAAAATATCTGGCTGGGGGCCAGGCTCGGCAGTTCACGCCTGTAATCCCAGAACTTTGGAAGGCCGAGTCGGGCAGATCACTTGAGGTCAGGAGTTCAAGACCAGCCTGGCCAACATGGTGAAACCTTGTCTCTACTAAAAATACAAAAATTACCAGGGCATGGTGGCAGGTGCCTGTAATCCCAGCAACTTGGGAGGCTGAGGCAGGAGAATCGCTTGAACCTGGGAGGCGGACATTAAAATGAGCCGCGATCGTGCCGCTGCACTCCGGCCTGGGTGATGGAGTGAGACTCAGTCTCGATAAAGAAAGAAAGAAATATCTTGTTGGATGAAGTCATAGTCCATATTTTCAAAAGCAAACATAGTCTAGAACATGCTACTGTATCCTAATTCTGGAGCATTTCTGCAAATAAAAAAACCTCCTGCATCTTTCCTTTGGGTTACCAAGGATTTTCACACATGTCACACTGATCCCCTGAGTGAGAAATCTACCCTGATTTGTGTTTTGGGGGGGAAAAATGGGAATTTTCTCTGAAGGGAAATTCCTATGCTCATGGTGGATAAATAAATCACATCGTCTGAAATGCCCCTAAATTTTTAATAACCGTTTTAACATCGTTGATTGCATCTCCCATTGCTAGCACTTTCTTAAAGAAACACAAATGGGCTGGGTGCAGTGGTTCATGCCTGTCATCCCAGCACTTTGGGAGGCTGAGGTGGGCGGATCATGAGGTCAAGAGATCGAGACCATCCTGGCCAACATGGTGAAACCCCGTGTCTACTAAAAATACAAAAAAAATTAGCCAGGTGTGGTGGTACGTGCCTATAGTTCCAGCTACTTGGGAGGCTGAGGCAGGAGAATTGCTTGAAACTGGAAAATGGAAGTTGCAATGAGCTGGGATCACACCACTGCTCACCAGCCTGGCAAATAGAGTGAGACTCTGTCTCAAGAAAAAAAAAGAAAAAGAAACACAAATGAAGAGGCACAGTAGGTGATCATTTGGGGAAGGGGATGGTCCCTCAACATCAGAGGTCACGCTAACAGAGGAGCAAACTGATGCTCCGCGTGTTGGCCGAGTGGATGGCCAATGTCAAGATTTGCAACTTCAGCGCACCCGAGGGTATTCGTAACGTTGATGTCACAAACCAGATACAGCAAGACCTCCTCTTTAGGTACTCCAGACCAAAGAAACCTCTGTGTAAAGGAATGATATTCTTTGGCTGATGGGTAGGCTCAGCTCAAATAAGCTCAACAGGACCCCCAATAACTGGCCACAGAGCACGCTCTGGTCTTTCCAGGAGCTGCAAATGGGGCCCTCCCTCTTCACCCTTTCCCAAGCTTTGGATCTGCTAGTAACATTATGGAACTTTTTGAGGTTGGGATAATAAGTAAACAGAAGTCTTTTAAGATTCTGATGCAGGGGACATTAATAGGAGACATAATTCAGAATAACGGGAGAATCTGAAAATGTTAAAGAAACTTTGTCCTTCCAAAGAAAGCCAAAAATATTATTTGTACTTCAGTCTGCATTTGTCTGGAATGCTTAAAAAACTAATTAATACAGTGGCTTTTTTTTTTTTTTTTTTTTTTTTTTTTGAGCTTTCAGTTAAAAATTGCAGACTCACCATTTTGTTTTCTGCGCCTGGGGACAACATCTGAAAAAAAGCTCTTCCCTCCAGAGATAGAGAAAATAACAAAGTGAGGAAAGGGTGTTTCCCTCTCTGCTAGGGAAAGGGTGTTTCCTAAGCGGAGCGAATGCATTTTAACATCTTCTGCTTTAGGTTGAAATGGTACCGCACACACTGAAATCTACCATCTCCTATCACATTTCCCGTGGAGAACTTGGCCAATAAAGGAAGTGACATCTCAGGTGTTGGTCTGACAGCCATCCCAATTATAAAAGCCATCTCGGTTATAAAAGACCTGTTATTTGTTCTACGGGGTGCCTTTTGGCCCAGCTGTACACAGAGGGCGGCAATGGCATAGCATGATGGTGCGGGAGTAGTGACAGCTGGAATGTTGCCGTGACAGTCAGAAAAGGTTAAGATGACCAACTAGCATCCCTCCCTGGGCAGGCAGATGAAAAAGAAAAAACTCAGTAAAAACAGAAGTTGGATCATGTGCTTCTTAACTCTTTACCAGTTCCCAAAAGAGATAGTGTGTCTCCCTTGCTAATAGCAAGAGGAAGAGTAGTAACAGCAATCACAAAGGGCTTCCATGAAAGGGGCACCCGCCCTGGACACTCTACAGCATCCTTTTACCTCCCCACTCACCAGCGTCAGCCTCAGGAGGGGGCATCATGGTCCCTGTTCTTGAGATGAGGACTTTGAGGCTCAGACAAATGGAATAGCCATTTGCAATCAAATTAGTGTTTGGTACTGTTGGGTGTTGTATTCTTTTGTTCTAACATTGCTATAAATAAATATCTAAGACTGGGTAATTTATAAAGAAAAGGGGTTTAGGCTGGGAGCTGTGGTTTACGCCTGTCATCTTAACACTTTGGGAGGCAGAGATGAGTGGACCACTTGAGGTCAGGAGATTGAGGCCAGGCCAACACGGTGACACCCCATCTCTACTAAAAATGCTTAGCCAGGCGTGGTGGCACTTGCCTATAGCACAGCTAACTCAGGAGGCTGAGGCAGGAGAATCGCCTGAACCCAGGAGGTGGAGGTTGCAGTGAGCCAAGATCATATCACTGCCTTCCATCCTGGGCAACAGAGTGAGACTCCATCAGGAAAAAAGAAGAAGAGGAAGAAGAGGAAGGAGGAGGAGGAGGAGAAGAAGAAGAAGAGAGGTTTAATTGGCTCAAGTTTTCACAGGCGGTACAGGAAGCATGATGCTGGCATCTGCTCAGCTTCTGGAGAGGCCTCAGGAAACTTACCATCATGGCAGAGGGCAAAGGGGAAGCAGGCCTGTCTTTCTTACATGGACAGAGCAGAAGGAAGGAAGAGAGAGGAAGAGGGTGGGTGCTACACACTTTTAAACAACCAGATCCCGTGGGAACTACCACGAGAACAGCACTTGGGCAATGATGTTAAGCCGTAAGGAACCGCCCCCATGATCCAATCATCTCCCACCAGGCCCCCTCTCCAGAATTGGGGATTACATTTCAACATTCAATTTGAGTGGGGACACAGATCCAAACCCTATCAAGTATCAACTTTGACATCCCAAGATTCTTCAAATATTTATCCTCCCCAGTTATTCTGAAGCTGAAGGCATTCATTCTCAAACATTTTAATCTCACAACCCCTTCTGAGGATCCCACTCATCACCCAGCTTTCCGCACACTTCTGGGCATTGCCAGATCCCATCCCCAACCACGCCTATCCCCTGGGAAAGAACTGATGCAGCCAAATCCCATGCCTTCACCTCCCCCAAGGTTCTCCAAATCCCACACTTTGGCATGAAAATGGTCAATGTTTCTAAGCGCCCCAGGGGTGCCTCTCTTGCTATCATGGTTATACAACAAGAATGTAGCCAAGACCACCATCTAGGAGCCTACCTTGCTGACCCAGGATTTAGCACCCCTATTTTCATTCCTGGTCAGTGTGTCCAAATATGAAGCCAAGATCAGCAAACTTTTTCTGTGAAAAGCCAGAGAGTAAATATGTTTGGTCTGGTCAGCCACATGATCTCTGTCGAAACTACTCAACTTTGCTGCCATAACTCAAAAGTAGCCACAGAGAGTATGCAAATGAATGGAAGTGGCTGTGTTCTAATAAAAGTTTATTTACAAAAGGCAGCAGGCTGGATTTGGTTTGTGGGCTATAGCTTGCCAACCCCTGTATTAGACTGTAAGCGCTCTGAGGTGAGGAACTCTCATCCTTCAGTTCTCTGAATCTTAGATTTTGTCCAGAGTCCTGCTTAGACAAGGGACTTTGTGAATGTCTGCTGCCCACAAGGAAGTTGCCTGGGGATCCGCATGGGAATGGAGAGTAGTGGAAAGGACAGAGCCTTTAGAATCACGTACCCCTGGATCCAAATCCCAACTCTGCCACACAGCAGTCTTACGTTATGGTTTCATTGTCTTGAACTTGAGTTGTAAAAGAAGAAGAGCACTATTAACTCCATAGAATTGTGAGATTCAAATTAGATTAAACGTTGTTAAACTTAAAAATAAAACATACAAAGAGTGCTGTAGGCTCAAGGTTAACCTACGGCTGGGGAAATTTTGGATAACGTTTTTGAGGCCTGTCCATCTATCTATTTGGTGTATCATCTATCTCTATCAAGGACTATTGAAACAAACATCAAGGACTACTGAAACATACATAGTTCTCCTCATAAAAATTTGTTTCAACAAAATAATCATGGATCTATGCATAGGTTTTATTATAAGGATAGCCACTGCAGCAACACTTTTAATTTTGCTGCTTTCGGCAACCCAAATGTCCAACAACAGGGGATTAGTTAAATTAATTAAAGCACACCATGCAACAGAATATCAGGCGATTGAAAATGCTGTAAGACGGCAGTTCTGTACGCATGGTCCCTGGACCCTGAGAGTTTCCTGCAACCTCTTCTGGCAGAAAGGGCAGTCTACAAGATAAACACTACTTTCATAATAATATCAAGATGCTGAGATCAGGAGTTCGAGACCAGCCTGATCAACATGGCAAAACCCCATCTCTACTAAAAATACAAAATTAGCAGGGCATGGTGACACATTACAGGCATTACGTATGCCTGTAATCCCAGCTATTCGGGAGGCTGAGGCAAGAGAAGCACTTGAACCCAGGAGGCAGAGGTTGTACTGAGCAGAGATCACGCACTGCACTCTAGCCTGGGCAACAAGAGTGAAACTCCATCAAAAACAAACAAACAAAAAAAAAACAGAAAAAAGAAAAAGAAAGATGCTATTGTCTTTTTCACTGCAAAAGAAATGGCAGGTAGAATTATCAACACTTTAGCATGAATGAAGGCAGTGGTGCCAAATGGCTACCACACACTCACAATAAACATATATTTAGGCAAATTTTACCTAAGAATATCCTTGGGGATGCAATAAAAATGGTCAATTTTATAAATCTTGACCATTGAGTATGTATCTTATTTCAATGCTCTGTATGACAAAATGGGAAGTGCGCATAAAATGTTCCTGGGACATAGTAGAATATAATGTTTGTCTCAAGAGAAAACATTTAGGGGAGGGAGCTGCCAGCAAAACTAGCTGCATTTTTCACTGAACACCATTTTTCCTCGCAAGAACTGACAGACAAATTCTGGGTATTCACACTTGGATATCTGGCAGACTTTTTCTCAAGACTGAATTAAGAAAACCTGTCATTTCAAGGGAAATAATAACTGAAGGATGATACGCTTTGAGCTTCAAGAAAGAATTAGAATTTTTGAAAATGTGTCTTCATCACCAGGAACTTGACAGATTCCCAGGACTGACAGACCTTTCTAATATCAAGGGTGATGTTAAAGAAGGTAATTCTTTGACATTGTAAGATGAAATGTGTTTATATTTGGAAGACCTACATAACTTACTGAATCAACATTTTCCAAATAACTAATAAATGATCTTTCCAAATCTGGCATGGGTAAAAGATCCATTCAAAGTGCAAGACTAACCAATAAATATCAATGTCACAGAAAAAGAAAGTTCACTAAAGTGGTTTTTTAAGTTTACACTGCAACCATCTTTAAAAAGACTACCACTTATCCAATTTTTGTGAAATATCAAAAACATGCATAATTATCTGAAAAGGCTATGAATATACTCTTCCTTCTTCCAAATACATGTCTGGTTGAGGCTGGATTTTCTTCATATACTTTACAACAACATATGTCCTTATAGATTGAATACAGACACAGATTTGAGAATCCAGCTATTTTCCCTTAAACCAGACAGTACACAATTTAGCAAGAGTATAAAAAATCCTACTCTTCTCACTAATTTTTATTTTAGAAAACATAGCTATTTTTCATAAAAATATGATCATGGATTTATGCAACAGGTTTATCTTTTTTTTTTTTTTTTTTTTTTTTTTGAGAGGGAGTTTCACTCATGTTACCCAGGCTGGAGTGCAATGGCGCGATCTCGGCTCACCGCAACCTCCGCCTCCTGGGTTCAGGCAATTCTCCTGCCTCAGCCTCCTGAGTAGCTGGGATTACAGGCACGCACCACCATGCCCAGCTAATGTTTTTGTATTTTTAGTAGAGACGGGGTTTCACCATGTAGACCAGGATGGTCTCAATCTCTTGACCTCGTGATCCACCCGCCTCGGCCTCCCAAAGTGCTGGGATTACAGGCTTGAGCCATTATTTTTAAATAAACATTTTTTTTTTAATTTTCAATTTGAATTTGTAATACGGTAAAAATCAATAGTTCCGACCAACATAAAAAAAAGCTCTCTGGGGCTCTCGCTAATTTAAAAATGCAAACGAGTCCTGAGACGAAATGTTTCAGAAACACCATTGTAGAAGAATATTTAACAACTAGAGGAAGTACCCACAGGACATTTTTAAGGAGGGGAAAGACAGGCTGTAAAAGACTATGGCATATAAATATAGGTGATTTTATTTTATGTTTTGGGGATGGGGCGTTCCTCTATTTCTAATTTTCTAGAATACACAATGCATAGGTGAATAGTAAAGAAATGTTTTAGAAATTGTTTTAGGTCTCACCCTACTTAGACTCTCTCGCAAAGTCCATAGACAGTGCCTAACTCGTAGTAGGTGATTATTAGCTCTTCCAGGTGGCCTAAAATAGTTTTTCACACACAGGCAATGACTAATTGGCTTGGCATTACTGTTTTCTTCCCTGTCATGCTGTAGAGAGGTTTGTTTGCTTAACAAAAAGCCTCATACTTTAAAATATGCATGCATATATATTTTTGAGCATAAAATATGTATATATTAAAGTATGTAATATATATCACATACACAAATATAGCATTTAATCAACCCTTATATTTAATATTATGTTCTGCCATGCAAAGAACAACATTTAGAGTACACCTCAAGCTTCCATGTTGAATAACCTTGATCCTAAAATAGAATCTTTTTCTGGGAAGTGGAGGACCTACTAATTTCTCAAACAACAACAACGTATGATGATTTAAATGGAAATATTTCTTTTTTAAGCCACAGGAGATGCTGGGAAAGTCATAAAACTCAACCCAGGTTGGTGAGGAGTCCTAACTTCCAAGAGAAGGTTGAGAATGGAAGTTTGGATTTGTTTACTTTCTGTGAACAGGAAAAATAATCACTAATAGCAATGCTCCCATATCATTAGAAGATGCTAAGAAAAGAATAACTTAAAAAATAAAACCTGCCTGGTCTATGGTCACCTTGTTCGTGCTGGGTGGCCTTGGGTAACCAACTCAGATTTCTGTTTCTGCAGCCGTAAAAATAAGCTAATGAGCATTTCCAGGGGGCCAGCGAGTGCCAGAATGCTAAAGACCAAGGCGGTTGGTTCTGAAGAATTTCTGGGATGGGCATCCTGGCTTTCAGATGCTCCAGAGACCTCCAGCCTGGCACCCGGGAGGAGTGATTCTGAATCTCTGCTCCCTCCTGCATGGAGAACCTCCAGGAGGCTAGTTTTGAAAACCATTCTTGTTGACATGCAGAGCAGTCAATCCTGTTCCCCCCCTGCCCTGGGGCCCAGCATCACAGCCCCTGAGGCTATTTCCTGGTCAGACCCAAGGCACATACAAGACCCCTTCTGAGGTTTTCCATGCCACCTCTCCGGGCGGCTCTGGCAGGTCGACATTGCTCCCTTAGGCTGCATAATTAGCAGGCTTCAAGTCGCCATGTGGTTGTGGTTGCCCGCCCCAAACACAGCCCCGTAGCCCCTTCCTCACCGGCGCCATCTCCACCGTCGGTCCACATACGTCCCCACGCTTTCTCCCCCCAGCCCCACTTCACCAATTGTGGGTCCCCACACGGCGGCTCCAGGGCTGCCACCACCCCTCACACTGACACGTTTCCTAATCCACTGGCAAATACAGTGAGTCCACAGAACCCTGCTGTCACCACCTCGGATCCAAACTTAGTCTCAACTCATTTAGAGACTTTGCAAGCTATGGTGGGGAAAAGGAAAACGCGGAGAGCACAAACTAATCTGTGTCTATCATCTAGATCCTGTCCTCTCCATCCCACGCCATCCCCCTGCCCCTCCGACAATCACAAATCCTCACCATTGGAAGGTAAAGTCTCAAGAGGTAAAGTCTCAAGATATAAGAAATGAGACTTCTTATGTCTCCCCATCTTTGAGTAGGGC